CCAACATCTACACATATTTTAAAGCTAGCAAAACTCTTTCATTTTTAAATTCATTTCACTTTTAAAATCAGCAGGTTTGTGGTCCTTTAAAAAATTCTATGGCCTTTGGGGTTTTTTAATTTCAACAGCAATTAAAAACTTAAGAAATAGTTCATGGTATGGAATAGCAAATAGTTCAGAGTATAAAATAGCTCCAGGTGAACTTTCTAGAAAATAAACTGGAATGATTATGATGATGAGAAATTAGGCAGGTCAGATACAGGATATCTAATTTATTTCTCACAATGTACTGCATTTTACCCTATAGAGGGGTAAGTTTCTTCTATTATTTCTCTTTCCCTTTCCGTGGCCCTACCGTCATAACTGGAGCTTTAGCACACGCTGCATTTCCTAGTCCGCATCCCCTATACTCAACCTCTAGGAGTTATGAAGGTGCCCTATACACCTACCCTGGGTAAATATACCTCATATCATCACAGCAATGTCAAGAACTTATGGTGGCCAGCTGCAGTAGCTTACACCTGTAATCCCGCCACCCTGGGAGGCCCAGGTGGGTGGATCACCTGAGCTTAGGAGTTTGAGACCAGCCTGAGGAAAAGTGAGACCCCAGTCTCTACCAAAAATAGAAAAACAAAAACAAAAACTAGCCAGGCATCATGGCAGGCACCAACAGTCCCGGCTACTTGGGAGGCTGAGGCAAGAGGAACCCAGGAGTTTAAGGTTGTTGTGAGCTATAACACCAGGGCACTCTACCCAGGGTGACAGAGTAAGACTCTGTCTCAAAAAAAAAGAACTCATGGAATCTTATTTAGTTATAATTTAATGCAAAAATTTCATAAGCAAGTCTAGTTTAACAGAATTTGTGAACTAGAATTACTTGTTGATTTTTTTTATATATTGTATACATGAAAGATGAAAAGCACAGTCAGATATTGAAGAAAGAGCAGATCCATTTTGTTAATTAAAACTTGCTAATCATACTTGACTGTATGAAACTATCCATGGTTAAAAAACATACAGAAACACGTGAAGATCATACAGAGTATTTATACAGATCTCTTGTGAGGGGCCCAGGCTTATCTCCAGGGAAAGGAGGCTTGATGTCTACAAAATCTAATTATATGTTTAAACCTTGCAATTGTTTTGGTACCCACAGAAGAGATTATATTTCTTCTTTTCTCACATCTGACACTTATATTTAAATCAGGGCTCCCCATGTTTTTCCAAAGCAGAATCGATTTGATAGACTGTGCTTTAAAGTGAGAAGGTTGGTGGGTGTGGAGAGCAGTGAGCCGGCAAATTCAGGCTGACCTCCTCTCTCTCTCTTCTGGAAATGACAGAATATAACAATTGCAGGTTCATTGCAGTTTCTCTCTGGTTTAGAATCAGGCATCTGGCTACTCCTACCACAAATTATATAATGAAAATTATAAGGAAGTTAAAGATAATCTATAAAAGAACTATTATTTTGTATAACAAGGAAAATCCCTCATGCACACTTCATAATGAATGTTTACCATTCCGAGGAGACCCAAATGAAACATTTAACACTAGCTGTATATTCTATCTATATTTTACATAATGGAACTAAAAAACTCCCTTCTCCAAGGAGACACACCGTAATAAGAGCGTCCTCTGGATCATCATAGGAAAACTACAAAGTGAAATGCAGGTTCTTTCCAAATCTGGTTATGTACAGATCACACTATAAAAAGAACTCCCTGGTCTAGATGGAGTAGTAAAGAAGAGAATAAAAATCTACAGCTCACTACTGTTTATTTATAACTAAATGCACTTGCTGCCCTTCAACTAAAAGAAGCCGTGTGTCCTGGCATTGTGCAATCCATGTGAATTTCTATTTAAAGCTGCAGAGTTATTCATTGGGTACATATGGGGCTGAATTGCTCAGATTTTTTATTTTTTCATTTTACTTTATTTTATTTCTTTATGACAGAGTCTCTACTCTGTCGCCCTGGGTAGAGTGTCCTGGTGTCACAGCTCATAGCAACCTCAAACTCTTGGGCTCAAGCCATCTTCTTGCCTCAACCTCTCAAGTAGCTTAGACTACAGGCCCTGCCAGCATGCCTGGCTAGTTTTTCTATTTTTTTTTAGTTGAGATGGGGTCCCGCTCTTGCTTGGGTTGGCCTCCAACTCCTGAGCTCAGGCCGCCTACCCACCTGGCCTCCCAGAGGACTAGGGTTACCCAGCACGAGCTTTCTCTTCTCTAACATGAAAGTGGGCTGCTGCCACACCTAGCCTATTACCATGATTTTCATAAAGAATTAATAATGAGTTTATCAAATCAAATCACTGGAACCCATTCTGAAAGTTTAGCCATCGCTTAGCTTGGAAAATTAAGACGCTTCCACTAAAAACCATTGGTCATTTGGGAAACAGACTATTTACATGTGTTCTTTTTTAATCGAAGGGCTCTCAGTTGACAATGTAGTACAAAATGGGGATTAGCCATATTTAACTGTTGGTGCAATGGACATTTTAGCATAACTTGCTATTTCTATATCTCTGTCACCAAGAATTTCTTAGTTTATATTGGAATCCTATATTCTAAGCAAGAATGGTTAACATGGTTAAAAGTTGCCTAGAATTCAGCCAGTTTAACTTTTAAATGATAATGAATTTGAAGGACTAGCTTGACAGAAATTTTCCTTACTGAGCAATATGGTTCACAATTACCTATGTCCATACTGTTAATCAACTCATAGTGAAAGTTTACTCATGAAGCAGAAGTACCTGTATTCTGTGAAGAGACTTCTAAATTACAGATAAGTCATGTACTACCAAATTTAAATTTTAAAAAGGATCCTTGTAATTATTTAATAATAATTCACTACTAAATAATATTTGTGTATAAGTAACTAAACCCTCTTACCTTATAGATATCCAGAAACCCACACTGGTGGTCGAACCTGGTGTACAGCTCATTCAGCATGCTGATGACCTGCATGGGCGTGCACTGGGCGCAGATGGCCGTGAAGCCCACGATGTCTGAGAAGAGCATGGTGACATCATCAAACTTCCGGGCCTGCACCTGCTGCCCCTGCCACAGCTGCTGGGCGACATCCCCCGGGAAAATAGAATACAGAAGATCCACCGTCTTCTTTTTTTCTTCTTCCAGGGCCTGGTGAGTTCTTTCTAAAGTTGCCTTTAACTTATCCATCCTCTTCTTCAAGCCATCTTGGGCTTTGGCCTGCTCACCAACCAAAATAACATCTCGGGTGGCGTCATGGATGGGGATGTCTGAGAGGTGCAGCCCTCGGCCCATGAGCTCATCCAGCTTGTCCACACACGGGGAGCCCAGGAAGAGGATGGAGTTGGATTCCGGCACGTGGATCATCTGCCCTTTGACCTCCATCACCTGAGAAATTAATATGAAGTTTTGATCAGTACTCTTTACACAGTAGGTTCATAAAAATTATGGTTTTTATTCATTGATAGGAGGAACAAGAAATGTTTTATTACCTATATGGACTTAACTGCATTCTTATAAACAAATCTAAATAGGATTTTCAACCAGTGTAAAATTCATGTTCTGCATGGCAACAACCGTGTTGTGTCTCCCTCAGCCACGTTCTGAACACAATAATAAAATGGTGAATGAGGTCATCGAAAAATTAAACTAAAAGACATTTCTTATTCAAGATAAAATTACTCCCAGGTACATCATGACACTGGTTTATGTGCCAATTTCAAAGCTTTTAGCTTGCCTAATAATAATAGAATTAGGATAAATCCATCTGTCAAAACCACTACATTTTACTGTCATTAAAATAATACTCCTTTCAGAAAGAAAATCTAGGTTATTAAAATGAATCAAAATAATTGTTTGGCCTTATGTAAGTCATTTTTCAACTGGTTGTAGTTCTTTGAAAATGGAGTAGTGATTGCACTAACTAGATTAGTGGGTAATTTACTCAGTTTTTAAAATACTAGTATAAACCAGATATTATTAAGCCAGTATTACTAGAAAATAACTGTCACTCAACTAGTTAAAAATAACTCCCCCAAATGATAAGACTAAAGAAATCTAATTAGTAAGATAAGGAATCTGAGGGTGTAGTATTTACACCTATGCCTCCGTTCTGTGCCCTTTCACTGGAGAATCTGAGGAACTGATGTTTAATGAAAGCCTCGGTGAGCACTGGCTCATGGCATCTTAGTTCGGTAACCCTATGAACACCTCAGAGAGGATGAGCACAGCAGGAAAGGAACCGGGATTTCGGGAGTAGCCACCCGAACACAGCTCTGTGGGTTACACGAATTATGTCAGTACACCTGGAGAGAAAGCCAGCTGTAATTACTAGGGAAGAAGAGGCCAACGGCTGACCAGCTGGGACCGCGCATCAGTGTCATCTGCGTCACTTTCCACGACCATGTCAGATGAGCTCAGTACATTTATTTTTCTTTCTTCTTCATAGTACAGTTATTGAGGCTAGTTATGAAACTGGAAGAATTGAACAAATATGGGATAAACTGTAGGGTTTGGATTTTTATGTTTCCAAATATTTTTACTTTGCTCTCCTGAACCATTCATCAGGGTCTTGTTTATATAAGGAAATAAAGATGAATTCTTACTGGATGTTATAATTTTGTTAAGGTTAAATTTATTTATTTATTTATTTATTTATTGTTTACTTCAAATTCATTCTACTTCATCTAGATATACTTGATATTAAAATTGGAAAAAATATATTATTATAAAGGGCAATCACAAACATTTCACTTATAAATGAGGATGCAATATCCTAAACAACATATTAACAAATTGAATTAAAATATTGTTCAAATAATGTACTTTGGTCAAAATTAAATCCAACTTATGTGAGAATTAGTCACTATTTTCTTTTCTTTTTTTTCTTTTCCTTTGCCCCACCCCCTCCTCCTTCTTTCTCTGTCTGCTCTTCCCTTCCCCCACCCCCCACCATGTCATTAATTGTCATTAACTGTCCTCATGTTATAATTTTGATGAAATGAAATATTTACTTTATATAAAGTTTCTGCTAAAGTGTAGTATTTCATCTTTTTATTCTTATTACTGTTTTACTCACTGAAGTATTTATTGAGTGTTTTTTATTAATTAGTACTGCTCTGGATGGTAAGAACAAAAATATACAATATATTTCCCTTTTCCTAGTTATCACAGTACAGTGAGGGGCCAAGTCCACGTGGGTCAGAGGGTACAATGAGGAGGACACTCCCAATTCCCCACCTAACGTGGGCTCTAGAAAGATAGCAGGCTGGGGTTTAAATACACATTATTTAAGAGAAAATAATCTTCTTGTAAAGTGTTTCCAGATTGTTCTACATATGCTTGATTATGCTTTTGGGGGTATTATTCATGATGTATACTTCCCAATGTTGGGATAGTAAGAGCATTGTCATCTCATAGCTCAAAAATTATTATATAAAACTTATTTCTTAAGACTTCTAAAAGATCAAAAACCTTGATAAGCTTTTAGAAATAATAATTTTTAAATCGTAATACAGGTGGCTCACACCTATAACCCTAGCACTCTGGGAGGCCAAGGCGGGTAGATCGCCTGAGCTCAGAGGTTTGAGATCAGCCTGAAGAAGAGCGAGACTCTATCTCTAGTAAAAAACAGAAAAACTAGCCTGGCATTGTGGCAGGCGCCTGCAGTTCTAGCTACTCAGGAGGCTGAGGCAGGAGGATTGCCTGAGCCCAGGAGTTAGAGGTTTCTGTGAACTGTGATACCACAGCATTCTACCCAGGGCAACAGAGTGAGCCTCTGTGTTAATAGACAAATAAGTAAGTAAATCATAGTATCTGATGCTGATAGATCTAAACTTGTATCTAGTCTCTCGCTCTCCCCTCACATTCATTCCAATTATTGTCTTTTTCTCCCCGCTCTTGCTTTCCTCCCCCTTCCCTCCTTTGCTTTTTCACTCTCTTTCCTTCATCTGGGCTCTTGCTGGTCGATTGCACTGCACTGCCCCTCGCTGTCCCTGTGGGTCTGCTGTCTTCTTTTCCTTTTATTTCCCTTTTCCTTTGAGTGATTTCTATATATATAATACATATGTGTAAATAAATATATATATTATTTCAGATTAATAGGAGGGTACCAATGACTAGTTCACATTATTTGCATTTGTTAGGTAACATTTAAGTTGTAGTTTAGCCCTTCACCCAGGCGGTTATGCTATATACCCTTCTACTGTGTCTATCAGGTGAGAGCTTGCCACACCCCTCCTTCCTCCCCTCCCTTTCCCCTCCTCTCCCCTCCCTCACACCCTGGACTTTTAACTATGTTTTTTTTCTTCATGTGAGCATGTAGTTGTTTATCTACTGGTCTCGTATTAGTATTGAGTACATTGGATACTTGCTTTTCCATTTTTGTGATACTTTCCTAAGAAGAATGTTCTTCATCTACGTTCAGGTTAACACAAAAGATGTAAAGTCTCTATCTTTATTATGGCTGAATAGTACTCCATGGTATACAAATGCCACAGTTTATTAATCCATTCATGTGTTGATGGGCACTTGGGTTGATTCCACATCTTAGCAATTGTAAACTGAGCTGTGATCAACATTCTAGTGCAAATGTCTTTATTGTAAAATGATTTTTTTTTATTCTGGGTGGATACCTAGTAATGGAATTGTGGGATCAAAAACAGTACCTCAAATAGCACCTCAAAAAAAAAAAAAACCCAACCTCAAATAGCCAATGTAATTCTAAGAAATAAAAACAAATCTGGAGGCATTACATTGCCAGACTTCAGATTATACCTCAAGTGTACAATAATCAAAACATTGTACTGGCACAAAAATAGAGACATAGATCTACAGAATAGAATAGAGATGAAACTAGCCACGTATAGCCATCTGATCTTCAATAAACCAAACAAACGTATACACTGGGGAAAAGTATCCCTATTTAAAAAATGGTGCTGGAGAACTGGTTAGCCACATGTAGAAGACTGAAACTGGACCTACACCTCTCACCACTGATAAAAATTGACTCTCACTGGATAAAAGATTTCACTGTAAAACATAAAATGATAAAAATTCTAGAAGACGTGGGGAAAACCACTGACAAAATTGCTCTAGGAAAAAGAAAATTGCCAAGAAAAATCCTTGGCAAATGCAGCAATACCAAAAATAAATAAATGTGACATAATCAAGCCGAAAAGCTTCTACCCAGCTAAGGGCACAACAACTAAAGCAAAGAGACAACGTTCAGAATGTGAGAAGATATTTGCATGCTACAATCTGACAAAGGCCTGATGATTAGACTCTACAGAGAACTTAAACTAATCAATAAGAAAAGAACAAACAATCTCATTTACTCATGGGCAAGAGACATGAACAGAACCTTCTGTTAAGAAGACAGATGAAAGGCCAACAAACACATGAAAAAATGCTCATTGTCCCTAATCACCAGAGAAATGCAAATCAAAACACCCTGAGACATCACCTAACCCCAGTAAGTTAGCCCACACCACGGAATCACACAGCTGCAGATGCTGGCACGCATGTGGGGAGAATTGAACATTTTTACACTGCTGGTGGGACTACAAACTAATACAGCCCCTATGGAAAGAAGTACGGAGAGCCCTCAAAGAGCTAAACACAGACCTTTCATTTGATCCCACAATCCCTTTATGAGGTATCTACTCACAAGAAAAAAAAAAATCATTTTACTATTTCCTTTTTCATTCTCTTTTCTTCCTAAGTAGGAATCTCTACATCTCCTGTCACAAGGGGACTATTTTTCTTTTTTGCCTTTGCTTCCATCTTTCTCCTTATTTTAAAGATAGAATCAGTATGTGTTTTGGATAAATGTCACTGTCTATATGTAATAAATCTTAAAAGTATCTTTAATCTACAAAAAGCTGAATTGAATAGTTTATATTCCTATCTCAAAAATATAAAACAATGAATATGTTCTTGATTTATATGGAGCCATTAGTTAATGTTTTGAAATCTCTGAGGTTACGGACTCTGAGAAAGAAAATTGCTTACCTCCTGCAATACAGAAAAACAATTCATGAAAGAGAAATCCAAACAAATAGAGCAAATAACTTCCCTTTTAATACTTATCAGTAAATGGTTTTTCTTACTCAATAAATGAGTAAATTCAACCGGACCATTTATATCTCTGTCATGAGTGCATTTCTGCTTTAATTGGAAAATGATATAAATTATGTTCTTGAATTGTTTTTCCATTATAGCTATAAATTCAGAAATTCATTATGATCTGCATTTACTCATTTAGCAACGAGCATGACTATTACAGGAACTATATATTTTTATGTAGAGGAAAGAGAATTATGGAAAACTGCTTCAAATAGAAATATTTTTCTAAGTTTTTATTGCATCCTATATTATAGTTTCAATAA